TTGGGGACAAATTTGATGTAACTAAATGCGCTGTCCCACCCCCCGTTCCCGTGGTATTTCAAGAAGGTCTCAAGTGGAATATGCTAAATGTTGTAAATCAGGAGGGTTCGAAACGGTTACTCTGGCCGTTGTCACAGCCTGCGACATCAAAATCGTACCACGACTTAGGAAGAATGCGACAATGTCAATGTGAGGCTTGCCTTCTATACTTTCGGTGAGAAAAAGTCGCAGCATATAAGCAGCTTTGCACCGTGTTTCCACAAACATGGCCTCGGCTCTTCACACCACAGCCTTTTCTATTGTCAGTTGAGTTGATACGTAAATCTAGCCTTGCCACGCTATGATCAAACTGCTGTCAGCCAGCCGCCCTCTTGCCTGCCCCCGTCAGGGAGACCTGATAACATTACCTGTCATCTCAGGGGGACCCTATTCATCTCTCTCTAAGTCCCTACAGTCACCAAAAGGTAAACCGTCTTCTGCAGTCTCTAACCTTATCTCTACTCTGCGCCCCCGTACAAAAGCGTCCGTCGTTCTACCCCACGTCCTTTGTGACAAGACTTCATCTTGACGTAACAATCTCCAGAAGCGACAGTCTATCTAACGTGAAACATGGCCCGGTGTCAAGCTTAACGCTTGTGGTACAATATTGCTGTCTTCTACACAATGGTGGGTCTCCTGATACCGGGTATTACACCCGGAGGCAAATCATAGCGTGAAGACACATTCAGGGAAGCAATTTTCTGAGATGGATCGCAAGACAAGCCCGCAGCAACTGCCTGTACACAGCTTTACGGCATGGCTGATTTAATATACATATCGCGTTCACACTCAAGTTTTTGTAGTATATATGAATAGTCTTTTAAGATTAATAAATAGATAAATAATTAAGATATTTTAAGGTTGAACCTTCTTACAGAAGAAAACTTACTCAAGAAAAGCAAAACAAAAGAATACAGACTAGTTATCATACAGAAATATGGAGTGAATTCACATTAGGGCCCAACAACCTTCTTGGTGGGACGGGGGACGACATCGACTTCCTCAACCTTTGACCCATTGCTGACGTCACGCGTGCATGACGTCACGGGTCTTGGGCGATTGGGTCTGCTCCCTCAAAAGAACTGAGTGATTTCTTGGGAAATAAATGTCGTTGAGTCCACGTTTTTCTTGAGTTTCAAAATAGTTTTTCCATAACAATTTCATAAGTTTGCCCTTGAAGCATCCGTTCCTCCATATATCTTTTAATATCAATTTCCACTTTTATACGTTTATCGACCAGATGGTGTCATTGTGTTTGACTATGATAAAAATATAAGATTCCACGACATAAAATAAATTCTTTTACGAGGACTTCTACTTTTTAGTCACTTATAACTATTTAAACCAGGTCGTAATTTGTTATGATTTGGGGGTCAGTTGAGGGCAGTGGCTTTACGACTATAAGGTCGGTAGGGTAGGTCCCACGTGTGCACGCTGTATTGATATATCGGCGTTGAAACGTACTGTTTCCAGATATTCATGAATGTATTGAAACCTGAACTTTCCTATTGAATTGCTATATGAAACACCAGGAAACTTACAGTGCTGCAAAGAAGCATTCCGTGATAAATACAATATTCCTAGATTTCTAAGAGATCAATAGAGATGAAAATCCTAATAATTTCAATCTGATTTGTTATCCCGTAAATTACTTTAATGTGATAACGGAAAATGATGTCGGAATTAAGGAGGTCCTCCGATCGTTAAGCAATCAGGCAGGTAATTGTGACAGCTGAGAACATTTTCCCGTTAGGATTTAATTAGATAAATGCTAACAGTTTGAAAATAACGGATTCGAAAGTTAAATCACAACCGCCACAACGAGACCCAACTGGATGTATGTACCTTAGAGCAATACAGTCTATATTCTTCCATAGCTGCCAATTCATTTTACGACGGAAACCTAAATAATTGTACGTCATATTTCATCATCCCAGGAAGTTTTAATGCTATAGCGGGCAGTTCTTCCTATGACATGTGCCCTTTATCTATCCCGGCTATTAATTATATCACTTTTCTGTGATCGATCCGGTGGAGTAAGTCAGACTAATGAGGGACAAACTAGCGTCCAGGGAGCCGACATGATGAGCTGGCCCTGCCCCGGAGGCAGAGGGATCACAACCTGAGACCAATTACCTCAAACATGAGATAGTTACGGCCAATTCTGCGTCAGCTGGGAGACTTTTCAACTAGTTGTTTCTCCGAGAAGAAATGAGTTGGTGTCCGTGTCGTTTCGAATTCAGCGCACGCCATATTTTGAGTGGGACGCGTACCCACTGCACACCAGATAGCCATCGGCATGCAATCAACTACCAACAATTCCTATAAATATATCATATTCAACCTACCCATGCACAATAAGACTCGCAAAATATTTTACACTTGAAATGGTTGTCGGACGATTTTCAAAACAGTTTTAACGATTATCAAACTCGCCGGAATTTTCGACAGAATTAGTCTTCTTCAGCTATCTGATCTATGACGCAATCACCGAGGACACGTGACTTTTATGCACGTGTGACGTCAGCAACGGGTCAAAGGTTGTTGGAAGTCTATATCGCCACCCGTCCCGGTTGAACGAAGTGGGGCATTCGGTCTGAATTCGAAATAAGTCATTTGTGCTCGGTAGAATTATATATACTTTATGTGCATTACCGGCAGGGGGTATAGTTTAGTTGCCGAATGGTTAACCCTATATCTGATTGCTGTTGAAGATCAACATATGAAATCGAAAAAACAACAACAACAGGATTCACACTGGGTCTCTCCAGTCGTCGAGAGCGCGCCCATCGTAGCGGACTGAATCGATCTAACATGCGGGAGAGTCCAGATAAATCACCCGGGCGCTCCTCGTTGGCCTCTGGGCGATGTCGGAATTCCTGAGATGGTATTTTCATCCACCGATGCCGGTCCCGGTAGCGAGGGGGCTAAGCTGGGCGTGACGGCGGTTGGATGACCTGTAGCTGGCTGACGACAGCGCGATCTTTCTGAGGGGTGTAGACTGGCGTGTGTCACGGTGTGGACGGCAACGTGAGGAGAGCAGCGCTAAAGATCACGGAGTTCACCAACCAGATAACAGCGCGCCAAACAACTTCAACTAAGCTGAACGTGACGGTGGTTGGCTGACCTGTAACTGGTACAGCACGGTGGAATTTTTACACCGGTTGTAGACGGTTCAGACGTACAAAGGGTAAAAGGCTTTACACGGATATTGACATTTAAAAATCAGGGAGCTCAAATTTCTTCGCCTTGATCAAAACCTTGTAATGTGACATTGAAAAAAAAACTCTACGTATTCACCTGCAAAGGGCGTTAGGCTCTCTTGATTTGTGGTGGTGTCTACACGTTTCTCCTTTCAAACAAGAAAACTCTTTTAAGGCTTCGGTGGTTAGGATGGAATTGAATCAGTGCAAAAGCTCTGACCTTTTGAAGCGTGAACGTACACTGCGCGCCCAGAATACACGATATCTAATTCTATCCTTGATATCCAATGTAATTGTAAGCTGCAGGAGGATTATTTCGTATTCTGACTAAATGGTCCGTCCGCGCGCACAGCCATTTCCAGTGTACAAATGAGGTAAGGCAGTTCGGTAATTGGAAAACGGCAGCGATTATTTGGTCGGTGAAGACTCGCTTCATCAGTACGCTGTCTCTCTCTCCCCATTGCTCATTTTCCAATGGTCTCAGCTGGGCAGACCTATGAGGGCGATTCTTTACGATCTAATTCGTCCGGTAGATAGTCATAATGCGGGCCTGGTCTGTTATGGTTCTGTACCGGGTGGAAATAGGGCGGGCAACTGGGCGGAACATTCTCGCATCATTATGCAGCCGTTATTTCCACTTAAATGGACGTTGTTGATAGTTTTTTCTCCCATTCTCTCGGCCAGACGAAGATTAGATTCGCTGATGGATGTAGTTTGAGCAGGCAAATGCGACGACATTGTCGACCTTTCGGACCCAGTATTGAGTCAGCCCAGCTTATATGTTAGACGTACGTACATAAACCAGTGGCTACACTAATTTGCGCCTGCCAATGGGAGAATGGGAGTCCGTTTTGCTCAGTACATATCCACAATTCTCCGACAAAAACCCATAGAAACAACGACCAAGGAACTCAGATTGATTCGTCATAATCAAGATCTTGTAACGTAATGTTGTAAAGAGAATACTCAAAGTATTTACCTTCAAATGCCTTCAGGCTACATTGATTTTTAATGATGAAACAAATTTCTTCTTCTTTCAAACAAGAAAACTCCTTCAATGGCTCGGTGGTTCGGATGGAATGGAACCAGTGCAAAACCTAAACTTTTGAAATGTATCTCGTGTTAGCCACAAAAAGGCAGCAGAATCTTCAGCTAGTTTCTGAAATGTATTTCAGACTTAAAGAACGTTTCGTGCTTGGTTGCAGCGGTTTTTCAATGACAGGCCTGCGAGTGGTATTGTCAGGACGATCGCTGTTTTTTCGGGCGAATCATTGACTTTACGCACTGTAGAAACAGAACCGATCCGTTATTCTTACCCATTATTGAGGGAATAACTCAGTGTCATCATGAAATTTTATCTGTGTTGGTATTAATCATAGTAAAACGTTAAACTTTATTCCAACACACAGGTTAAACAGAGATCAAATTTTCAGCGACCACTGTCTCCTTCATCAGGATAATTAAAGACCAATCACTTCACAACGTAATCTCGCGAGAGTTACGGTAACTCAGTGTCATTATCCCGGCGAAATTTCCTGCATTTCCGTAATTTCTCTCCTTTTTAGGTGCATACAAACTCCTAAACCAGCGTCACCCATAACAATACTTCCGTCTCGGAAGTAAAAAAACATGATGACAGACAATAAAACAACAAGACAGGCACATATCGCATTTATTCTTACTTTGGACAAATACATCAATGCTCCGAAACAGCACGTGACCAAGAAGCAGCCAGCGACACTTTTTTGTTGTTTACTGCTAGACAAGGCGGGAAGACTTTATGGTAGTACTGTCCACTAGCTCTGTCTTATTGTTACCGTCCGCTTCTAACGAGGTAGCGTCCTGAAATTCCATCATCTTGATCATCTCCTGCACGTCCGAGACTTTTAACCTGACCTTGTCTTGAGTATGGGAGCCGGGTTTGCCTTTAGACTTCCTTTCCTTGCGGTGGTAGCAGACAGCGAAGACGACGACGTTGACGAAGAGTAAAGAAGTCCCCACGGCGATGACCACGCTCAGTTCTGAGGAGTACCCGCGGTTTCTGTCCCGCCGGTCCACGCTGGACCACTTGGGAGTCCACATGTCAAAACCGACTTTGGGTCTCTGTAAAGACGGGTCCGAGGTTGGCGCTTGGGTTGTGGGGTAGCAGGTAACGGGACTGTTTCTTTGATCACCCATAGCGCGAGTCGGGATGACCCCGTTACCCACTAAGATGGCCCTCCCGATGTCCAAACTTGCACACAACTCGTTCAGAGAGCGGGTAGGATACGCACTCCCGTGCCCGACCACCTGAGGAGGCTTCAACAGCTTGGGAACGAGCTCCTTCCAGAAGGCTACCCTCTGGGAACGATACCCGCTGGGGACTCTGGGTCGCATGCCGAAGTACATGTAGCTGTCTCCCTCCTGGCCGATGATCTCGCTGTTGTACGGCTTCCACAGCACGTCCTCGTAACGGTTCGGTCTGAGGTGGAGGAACGTCGTCTCCTGCTTCCGGGGCTCATTCGGACTTCTGTGTTATGAACAAGTAAACAGACCAAAACAGAAACAATTGATTAGCCTTGAAATATTTAGAAGACAATACCGCTTTTGAAGAAGATTTTTACACAAGCTCTAAAAGCAACATACTTAATAAAAGCGAACTTTAAATAAAACGTTATTGTTGTTCTAGAAGGCTTACTCTGTTCTAAAAGACTTACCCTGTTCTAAAAGACTTATACCCTGTTCTAAAAGGTTCACCCTGTTCTAAAAGGCTCACCCTGTTCTAAAAGACTTACCCTCTTCTAAAAGGCTTATCCTATTTAAAAGACTTACCCTGTTCTAAACGACTTACCCTGTTCCAAAAGGCTTACCCTGTTCTAAAAGGCTTACACTGTTCTAAAAGGTTCACCCTGTTCTAAAAGGCTCACCCTGTTCTAAAAGACTTACCCTCTTCTAAAAGGCTTATCCTATTTAAAAGACTTATCCTGTTCTAAAAGACTTACCCTGTTCTAAAAGACTTACCCTGTTCTAAAAGACTTACCCTGTTCTAAAAGACTTACCCTGTATAAAAGAGTTACCCTGTTCTAAAAGGCTTACCCTGTACCAAAAGACTTACCCTGTTCTAAAAGACTTACCCTGTATAAAAAACTTACCCTGTTTTTAGCAAAGTTGGTCCAGTAGGTCATAATGGCGGTGCTCAACATGGACTCCAGTTTCGTGAAGGTCATGTTTTTAAACATCGTGTCTGAGATGAGAGGGGCGCCGAAGACGAAGGGAATCTCCTCCCCGTGCGCGGCCTCTACCCACTCCGGCGTGGGACTGCTGGTGGGCCGGTAGTTGAAGGTGTAGAAGAAGGTGCCTGATCTGGTGTTGCCCGTGGAGTGCAGGTTGGCCGTCTGGATGGCCGGCACGCCCGTCTGTTGTTCCGTAAACATCCGCAAGAGGCCACTGCGCCGGGTCTTGTTGGTGTCCTCGCCCCAGTTGGTGTAGATGAAGGCCACGGCGTCGGTGATTTCCGCCTCCCGGTTCGGAAACAGCTGGTTGACGAAGTCTCCGATGAGAAGTCTGAAGCCGTCCGACGACACGCCGTCCTCTATGCTGCGTAGGTCGCTGATGTACATGTAACCTTCCGACTCCGTCACTCCCAGAAGGGCGTCATACGACCAGAACTGACCACCGCCTGTATATCGAAGCAGAAGATATGTCCATGTGTGTTGTAAACTCATACAAGTGTAAAATATGAAGAAAGTTAAACTGTTCTCCAACTCAACAACGAAATTAACTCACCAGAAATTTTGAC